CTGGATTGGAAAATTCGTTCATTTCGCTCCAGCAATCGCGGGTCTAAATTTTTGTAACAGTTCTACCGAAATACACTACCAAAGAATGATACTACAAAAGTTCTCCACATTTCGTCCAGCAGTTTTTTGATAATTTGACCCGAAAAAGCGAACTATTTGTCTATTGTGGACGTTCAAAAACGTACCGCGCCTACTTTAAAAAAATCCGCAGCGTATGACGCATCGTACCACGTGACGTGAACTGTCCAATTAGACACCAGATATGAGGTCGCAGGTCATGACTCTTAACAAACATGAAGGCGTCCATTGCCAAAAGTGCGTCAACGTAAACATCGACGGTGCAAAACAAAATATTTGCACACATAATCTGTCACGTTTGGGGGGGGGGGGGAAATGCGAATGATCTGATGTCCGTGATAGTAAGTTCACTTCCTGTGCCAAAGAGTGGCTGAATTTCACAATGGCATCACCGAATATACCCACGATGTGTGGGCAGTGCCAGTGGATCTGCTATGCCTATGTCTGTATGTAAAGTACATGCACTACCGGCGCATGTAAACAAGGCAGTCCGGCCGGCCGACCTCACCCGTGGCGGTTTTTATAGATAGTAAACAGGTAAACAGGTAATGCTGCATGAAAACGCAAACCAGACACTTCAGCTGAGACCCAGATTTCTTCACCGAAAAAGCTCCGGGCAAAGTTCAAGTTTCTTTTAATTGCCTATCCACATAATGGTGTCATGCTGCACACAAACTCAACCAGGATTTTGATTTCGATGAAATCTCAATTCAAGGACAAGCTGCAACAGTACAACAAGCAGAACTTCCGTTGGAGGTAGGCCTACATGTCATTATAATGCGGCGATTGTGTATTTATGTGCCCAAAAGAGAACAAAAAAAATACGTTTGGGTTAAATTGTCTTGAATTAAGGGTAAGGATTTTAATGTCTTTGAGGTAAACTGGCGTTGACACAACGATAAAAACGCAATGCGAAAACAATTAAAGCTGGTGGTCACCACGATGCACCGTGAATGCACAGAACCGCATCGATTTGGATGGCGTCAACTGAAAATTTTATTTTCTTGCAAAAGATACCATTCAAAATGATAACAGATACCTGGTTATAAAAAACACCTTTTTTTCTCTAAGGCAGTCGACTGTTGGATACGTCACTTGTCTACCGAATGGTTCTTGGACTTTACTTTCCTTTTAAGGAAATTCTCTAAAGTCAATGAAGAAAAATGTCTTCAATGACAAATAGATCTTATTTGAAAAACCCAGTAAAAAAGGGTGGTTTTTTTTAGTTCCATGATTCAAACCGAGTATCTCTGGCACTGAAAATAAATGTCTAACATTAAGATGCCAAAGTACAATGGGTACTGCACAAAATCCCATAATAAAATGTTGTGCAGTCTCTTTCTCCATTGTTGAAGGATACTTTTATGGAGGTGCATGTGAGGGTAGTCTTTCCGTTTGTATAAAATAGCAAACTAGCTTTTTATAGAATTTACTATTTGATTCTAAATATATAAAGGATGAACGTCGGGAAAAGGGAGATGTTCTGCAACTGACTGTTCAACCCCGATCAACAACTAAGTTTCATGAGAATATCCCAGCTTGCTGAACTGTTAGAATCATGAAATGATTTAGAAGCCGAAGTGCAAACAAAAATAAACTTTAATAGAATATTCAAAATGAAAACGTCTTGATATTGCTTTGGAAGCTGAAAAGGTTGGTTCTCAATATCTACCAATGTTTACATATTTACAGTGGGAGGCAAAACGATCGAGCACATGATCTTCCTAGTAATTTAACTCTAGATTGAACAAGTTTCTTCTAAAGCACGTCCACAGTAATCATTGTTTTTGATCATCAGATACTAAACCTGTCTATATTTTACTTTTTTTTTTTTTTTACAGAAGTGATATAAGTTGACATATCGGCTTAGAAGAGAATATCCACAGGTCTCTTTCCTTGAATATATGCGACATCATCTACACCGCTACTTTATCTGCTGGAGGTGTGGTTGAATCTCTGGCGACTTCAGAGGAAGATTCAAAACTGAAACTTTGCCTTAGAAAGCAAAACATACGCTCTATCCTGTTGTTATGCCGTTACTGCACAAGATTTGATGAGAACTTTGATGTAGTGATAACATTTACTTGAAGTTGTATCAGCACGACTAGTTAGCATTTGACATCTTAATGAAACTCTAGATTTCAGTAACTCTAGATTTCAAAACTACATGATTGGATCCTTCTGTTCATTAGTGTTGGTTTTATTCATATTTATTCTTTTCATTTATTGAAAATTAGTTCCAGTAGAAAAGCAAATTCTGTGAGTTTTAACAGTGAGACAAGCCACATATGACACGCCAAATCACTCTCTTTAATGTGTAAGCATACAAAATAGCATGAGTTATGGTTTTGTTTTCTTTTTATTGATATACATGCAAACATTTTTCGGTGCTAATCAATGTATCAATAAATAAATAGCTGACATTTTCTTTAACAAAAGACTGATCTTAAGGCTTTTCTCTAAACCAAGATGGCCAGGGCTGTTTTGATCAGATAGCAAATAAATGTACAATGGTTGATTTTTGAAATTATTAAACCAGACTCTAACTTCTGATGTTCCTTTGATTTATAATTGTATTTAAAGCCTGTTTCATTCAAAAAAAAATGTGGTGTTTCTTACAAGTAGTAGGTTCTTTAAGTGACGTACTTGGTTCACCAAAGCAGATCCAGAGGGTTTGGGGGGCATAGCAACCTTTTTTTTATTTTTATTTTTAATGCGTTAGTTTGCTTTGTTTAAAGGGGCATGTCTTGTCTACTTTCCTGTTTCTTCTGCTGGTTACTTGTACCAGTATTTATTTACTCTAGAGACACCTCCATTTTGGGCACCCCCTCACTTTCATTAATGATGAGCTGGTTCCACCACTGCATTATAAACCTTCAAAATAATTGCATTGTTGTATGCTGCCAAATAAGTTAGATTAAAGTGAAATATTTTTGGAAGAGGGACTGTGGTGATGTCTACCAGATGAGAAAACTAAGGTTCATGTTCTGTGTTACCCAATTGCCAATGTACATAAACGATATTTTTTAACTCTAAAATCTTCTGGGTCAGATTGATCCAGAATCTGAATCCAAATTTGCTCAGTCCTTTTCTGGGTAAAAAAATACACATTTCAGTCAAAATGACCGAGAAACATGTCTTTTTTTTTTACTCCAAAGGGGTCATTTATGACTCCAAAAGGGGTCAATTTTTGACCCGGAAAAGGACTGAGCAGACTGAGTCTGACCCAGGAGTTTCTAGAGTGTAGGATGTGACAAGCTATAGTGCTGTAGAATGTCGAATGTTTTCCTACTGAAATCTTAGCCACATTGTTTAGCTCAACACCTCAACATAATTATGCGGTACCTCAGCATAAACCTTGGAGCGGTCGCAGATGAGTGGCAAGAACGTTTCAAAATAAGGGACGTCTCTTCCTGCTTCATACGTATGTCTGCATTGGCAATCCTGCATCTAATTCACGTTAAACATGGTGGTTCCAACCACACAGTCACTAAATAAGGCTTGTGTAAAGACTGAAATACATTAATATACATTTTTCAAGCGTTGCTAAGGACGTGGGTCCAAGGTACAACTTGTTTTACAACCTTTCAAACTGCTCTATATCTAATATTTTAATCGAAAATTTCTAATTCTGGACCTCAGGGAATTACGAATTCATGTTTTGAATTACCGAAAATCATATTGCGGACCAAATATAAAGCGGATTTTATTTGGTCTATTTGGTACCACTGGCGGAACCCGGGGGGGGGGGAGGCAACGGGGCCATGGCCCCAGAAAAAAGGAATGAAAACACCTCTTGGTATTCAATTTTCAGGAAATAAACTAAATCAATGAGTACCTCGCTCGCAAGCCATCAACTATATACAGTTCTTAGCTTGAATGTTACAATGTGGAAATACATGTAGCGCACGATTGTACTTAATCCCCTTTCTCTTTTTGAAAAAAAATCGAGCACTCTCCCCCCCCCCCCAAAAAAAGAAATTGCTGGATCCGCCCTTGCTTGGTACCCCACAAAACTGCGCTGAACACGGAATCCGTTAATTGTCGTTTCATTGTGGCAGAATTGCAAATACTTGTTCAATAATTCAAAGTTTCATAGTACGCCTATGTTGTTTATTTGTTTAATTTATTTGCTGTCATATTTATACAGGGTGGCCTTATTAATTAAAAAAATGTTTTTCGTAAGGGACCTGGTTCCTTTATATAAATATTAACTAAAACAGTAAGATAATTTTAATAAAAACAAAACAATATATATAAACATAATTAACAATAAAAACATCAGCAATCAACTTAAATTAGACATTAAAAAGAATACCGACCAAAACCCAACAAATTTGTTTTATTTATCAAAACCCTGTAACACAATGAAGCCAACAGAGGGCGACGTGCTTTAATTTGCGCTTTTTTTGTGTGACATGTTGTGCCGTTATTTACTTACAGTGTTTTCAATGCTTAGAGTTTTTCTCTAGAATTCTGTATCCACTGGTTTATGACACTAGGTCATTTTTATATGATATCAATCGAAAGCAATCAGACACGATAATCAAACCGATAATAAAAACAGATTTGGAGTTAATGATTTTTGACTGCATATTACCTTAGCATTGCATTAACACACTGACTTGAAATGGTAACGAAAACGGCCGATGAACAGAACACAAAATGCAGCTTCACATCCAAAATTGCATGCATCATTCTTTTCATAAACCATTTTATCTACAGTTTTATTCTCCATAGTAAAACGCAATGACAGTGTTCAATAGATGGAATAGATGTACTAAACCTTATTGTTCGTTGAAATCGTGCTGAACAAAAAAGAACGAATAGTTGGGGTTACTGATATGATTAATTAGCGATGACGTCAGTCAGTCTAATCACGTACGTATAGTTCCTTGAGCTCTTCACAATGAAGCGCACAATCTTCGTTACTTGCATCAGGGAGAATGGACAGATCGGTGCTTTCTCTTGTGCTGGTATCAGCACTCACAGGTAAGCTATTTGCATGGGGGGTGTGCTTGACGGGCACAATATATGGGCGCTTTGCGGAGTGGGTAAACTTCAAGGTTTTCACCTTTATTCGAAATGTGTTGCAACAGTGCATTTGGCCTTTCAAACATTTTGATGTCAACTTGCCTGCAGCAGACTGCAGGAAAAGGCAACACTGTGTAAGGTTAAAATATGGGTTAGTCGCAACCGACTAAAGGTTAATTTCTGAGTGGACGGAACAGACTCTGTAGATCCACGGGCAAAACCGATCGAATGTGTTTCATGAGATACATCGTAATTTACCTGATCAAGAAATTAAACTGGTCAACAAAGTGAATAAAAAATGGTCAAATGCATGAGTATACATTTTGTCTAACTGCTGGAGGGTATAGAAGTACCTTATATTAATTCCATCTATTTGTTGAATACTGCATACATGCCTATGCGGTAACTTATAGCCAACCCTTAATAGATCATTGAATTCTTCAAGATTTCAGTATCGGTCCCATTTCAGATGATTTTCAATATTCAGTGTACTGTGTTTACTTCAGACTTTGCAATTTTGAAAGGAGATAATGTTGATTATTTACTTTTACTCTTTTTCCTTACCCCCATTCCAAATTTATAGTCTGAGTATCTCCCAGAATCCATTAGCCAAGTTCGTTTATCATCCAGTTCACTTATACACAACCCATAACTAAAGCAGTGTTACTGCTAATATTTACCCCCCCCCAAAAAAAAAAGGGTTTTAAAAATACGCTACCGTAACGGAACTTGTCCCTATTTTTCCTTCTCCAAAATTTAGTTGAATGCAGCAAATTAATTATCATTACTCCGAGCTTTTGAGACCAAACCAACTTGAATAAAATGCATATACCTGTGCACAGCTTGTTAGCGATATATGATTGCCCATACGCTATTGGCGCACTGGAGGTGCACAGTTGTCATTAGTTGAACCCTCACCAATTTGCTTAGAGCGTAAGCGGTAAAGAAATCAAGGTTGTATCGAGAAGCATCGTGGAAGCAATTATCTTCTAATATGATAAAGTGGATGTCAATCGATAAGTACCATTTGGGATAAAAGGGAAAACGTTGTTCAAATCTCAAGCACCGGATGCCCGCTCGCAATCTCAACCCTGAGGTTGAGAGAATGTCGGGAAGGCCTAAGTTGCGTCTAATTACTTCATCGGGAGGAAATCAATATCATAATTGAAGTTAAACTCCACCCGTGACGTCACCCTATTGTCCTAGTGCTCCATTATTTTGCACGAATGGAGCGTTGGAGGCGATGCCTCGCCATTCTTTTGAAAGGTAATAAAGCCTCCATCCCTCCATTCCTACAAAATAGAGAAGCGGGAAATAAAGAAACACCAAAAATGACACAGTTGTAGTTTGGCACAGTTGCAACTTTACTACCCCGTTTCTCAATGATGATTTGTATGCATTTTCTTCATTATCCTCTACATATACAACCTCGTTCATATGGTTTATTTTCTAACTCGAGAAAATAGCAGACCCTGTGCGCGAAACTTGCTTGCTGTATTCTAATTTGATCCAGCAATAGCATGTCTCTGTTGGTAAAGCACTGTTTGTCATTGAAATGGCATCTCGTTTAATATGCCTTTTGACCAAATAAATAAGTTTCAATCTGGATTCATTGAAGTTTTGATTCGATGAAAGGTCCTTCATCTCTTTCAAGTTTCGCCTCATGCGAAAATAAGAAGGGGTGCTCCCGATCCCGAGACGACCCAAACTATTTCAGCCCTGATTTGGTTAAGTTGCCATGACATGCAATATATAAGACAGTTTGTTTTTTACAGATTTAACGTAATTGAGGTTACAATACCAAGCTATCCACACCATATCAAACAATTTGTAAAAATATTTTCCTCACTCCAAAGTGCTCTTGGCTGGTGTGCATGTTGAATGCAAGGCGAGGGTGTGTTACTTCGGTCCCCCACCAGAACCTGATCCTGATAATCCGGATAACTGGATGGAGCAAGTCATGCAAAAGATAGGGAAGCGTTGCTCGGGAAAGAGGCAACCTACCCCAGCCGTAACGGGCAAACCTACCCCAGCCGGTACGGGCAAACCTACCCCTGGTACGAAGAAACCTACCCCAGCTGTTACAGAGAAACCTACCCAAACTAGTACGGAGAAACCTACCCCAGATGGTACGGGCAAGCCTACCCTAGCTGGTACGTGGGAATCTACCCCAGCTGGTACGGGGACAACTACCCCAACTCGTAAGTCGTCCTCGGACCTTAGTTTCAGGAAGGGCGGGGGGTGATGGCTATCTTTAATGTAAAATATTCACCCTATACATGAACTTGAACATATTTCTTGTTTTTTTTGTAATACCTATATACAACATACTCCACATTTATTGGTTGGATCTGTCAGTTAGCTTGCTGTCTATGTTTAGTATTCCATTACATTTATCATTAACGCCCCATTTGACTTGTATCATATAATTAGTCAGCGTTGGACTGGTGTTCCCCCTAGATCCACCACTTTGGATTTGTTTCTTACAAGATAAATGCAAAGTTATTATAATAAGAGCGAATACTTTGAAGAAGTCTTAACCAGTGACCAATAATAATAACACAATAATACGGGAACAACAGTTTGGCTGCCTGATTTGAAATTATTTTCAAATACAATAGGACAGAGATCATTAATTGCCACATCAGATATCTAACATCCCCCATGTTCTTTGCAAAAGCTGAGTGTCCAAGTCCAGCGCCACTCGGCATGGAGGACGGGACAATCCCTGATAATCGCATCACGGCGTCCAGCACTTACGCCAGTTACCATGCGTGGGAGGGCCGCCTCAACAATGCCAAAGCATGGACATCCACAGGGTAGGTACCAAAGAGAAATTGCACAGGTACCCTAACCTTCCACAATCACATGCACTCAACCTAGAATCGGATTCGAGGGGCGGTGGCTCAAGATAAGGAACCAACTGTTGCACATTGTTTTTTTTACACACCAAATATTGCGATTTCTTCATTGCTTCTTGCCAATACATGTTTTTTTTTTTCATGGGGGGCAATTATTTATTGTATTTATTCGCTGTATTACTTATCCAGGGTGGCCTTACCAATTAAAAACTGGTTCCCACAAGAGCCCTGTTGCATATTACATAAATAAAACAGTATTAATTTAGAGATAGACTTATTCGACTTATAAATTATACTTATAAAAATATAAAAGACAAAATAAAACAAATTAAAAGCAGTTGACATATTAAGCTGAAGGAAATGAAGAAGATGATCGAAAGTTAAAACTGTTGACGACAGGACAGGCAAAAAAGTGATAAAACATTTGTAAATAACAATTGGGATCTAGTTTGCCTTTACGTTGTGAATTGTGTTAGTTTTACAAATGCTGCGTCACGCGGCCTGCAATGATAAATTACGCGATGAGCGAACGTCCTGTGGCTTCGAATGATCATCGCATCGTGTTTTAAATAACGCGTGTAATTCGAATACCCTCACGGACGTTCATGTCACACCAACGAAGAGATCCACAAGCTGCATGAATTATGAACGTTTTGTAGACTTGCACACGTCCACACTAGGTTTCCCCTCTCTAGGTTAAGAGGCATCTTTGGGCTAGGTTTGTCTACTAAAGGAAATCCTGATACAAAGTTTGGGTTGGAAGAGTGTTCACAGTTCGAGTAAAACGAGTACAAATGAGAACACGAATGTCTCTCTTCACTCTGTGTACAGTACCGATGCCAATCCCTGGATCGAGGTGGAACTCGTGGACAGCACGGTGGTGACGGGCATCATTACACAAGGCGACAGTATCGGTTGGTATGTGAAGCAGTTCCAGGTGGCGTACCAGAAGCTGCCCTCATCTTATTATGAACACATCACAGATGGAAACGGAAACATCAAGGTAAAAATATCTTTTTTTTTAGCGAAAAAAAGTTTTGTAAAAGTGTTTTTGAAAGTATTTTGGGCATGACATGATTTCTAAAAAAATCCTTATGTATGGCCTCGATTGGTTCCATAGATTAAGGCAATTTAAATAAACAACACTCTGATAGCCGGCAGATTGTTAGTCATGACAAAAGACGCAAAATCGGTTTAGTATTGCCGTTTTAAAGTTACAACAAAACAGGTATTAGTCCAAAAGGAAGCTTTAAATGCAAGGTTCAAAAATATTTCATCCTTTCATGAAAACTCAAGGAGCACAAACTTTGTGACATAACGTTGATTTTACAAATTATTCCTGCATCATGACCGCACAATGCATATTGTGCATATTAACTGTTTGTTATTACTTTCTGTACAGGGAAATGACCCCATCTGTAAGATTTCCCACTTTTCGGGTATCTGGCATCTGGTGCTAATTGTTATTACATGTACATGTACATGTACATGTACATGTAAAATTAAACTGTTCTTTTTACAATTGGTCGTTTAGTATGATGGTTTTCATTGCAGGTGTTCGTCGGTAACACAGATGACCGCACCCCATTCACTAACCTGTTTAAAGAGAGTGTGGTAGCGACGGTAGTGCGCATTGAGCCTACTGATTGGAAAAGTAATTATGCTGCTCTGCGATTAGAGCTAATTGGATGTCGTCGTGATTAAAAATGAAATATTTAATGCTCCACAAGTTTCCTATTGAAACATAGTTAACTTTTGAATTTCAGAGGCAAAAAACAGACCAAGGCCAACTTCCATATGTATTGGGACGTATTACTATTTTGTATTATAAGTATAGCTGTTATCGCAAAGCCATCAACCATCCTGACGCTAGCAGCCAAGTAGTTAAGAAGGGCGATTTCTAAAGGTTATAACGTAACGCTCTATTTTGAATGAAACTACATATGTACACAGACATGTTCACGTTGGCGGATGAAATCTTTGAAAATTAATTTCTCCCGTTTGGAAGACCTATCTTCATGCAACTTTCAGGGTTACTTCCCTTACAGTGATCCAATTGCTAAAATCGTTGTGATATGTTCATGCTTTTCGTTTTAATTGGAAAAGGCCTGACTACTTGCATTTTTGGAAGTTGTAACACTGGCGTTAGCAATGTCTATCAATCTTTTCAAGCCTCACAAATATTAATACTGTTCCTATCCATTTGTGCCGTAAAAATGTGCATAAAAACCTCCTTCACGCGTTATTAATACATAAATATTACCCTTTTTCCGGCTTTCATTGGTCGATACTGAGACCCACGCCAAGTTACGTCAGGTGACGCTAATGAATATGCTAATATTCCTGCATTATTGTACTGCCAGGCCGATATTGGTCAACCGTAGTGCCTACAGCGCTAGGAAAACCATGAAAGTGGGTTGGGTCGGGAAAAATCCTCGTCGAGAGTTTTTAGGGATAGTTTGAGTTGTAACACAAGCGTAAGCAACAACAGATTCTGCTGAAATTCAGAATATACTTACATGATATAAGTGTTCAACTACTCGTGAAATTACAGTAGGTTTGTAGAAATTGAAACTAATACATAGATTTGTGGACGTTTTTAGGCGATTTCTTCGGGACTTGAAGGTCTGGTTTACAAGTAACAAGTATTAAGGTTTCGGCATCGATATCTTCTCCCGTTTTCATTTAACTTTTCACGCATACTGAGCATATTTTCTGAGAAACACAACGTTCAAAAGGCCATGTTTTTGCTCTGTTACAGCGTCTAGGTACGTAATCGGATTAGTTTTTGCTTGACAATCAGCCACGCTTTGCCTATGCAACCATATGGCTGCTAGGGAACAGGCGGTCCTCATCCTCTCTAGATATTTACGACTTTAACTGAAAAGTATCTCGCAGGAAAACGCATGAAAGTAAAGCTTAAACTATATTTTCTTTCAAACCTTCTGCAGTTTCTAAAAAGTATCTGCATCCTTGTATATTCTGTTAATAGTAGTTGTCTTGATGTTTTCGTCAAACAAAGGTCTTCTTTTGCTTCAAATAAATACTGCTTCGCTAATTTCCTATATAGTTAACAAATATATTTGATTAAGCTACATAAAGCTTCGCCCTGTTCTGTAATCATAAATTTTCAATACAATGTATATCATTTTCATACAGTGTTCGAAATAAATAACTTTATGAAATCTAACAATGTGATACTTAATTTTAAAAAATCAAAATGTCGAAGTGAATTGTGGTAAATTGTCGTGGCAAATCAATAAGGTTGAATGATATATTTTTGGTAAATAAAGGCCGGTTAATATTTCATGCGAATGCGATTGCAAAGCGCAATGACGTCAAGAAACCTACGACACTGCGTTAAATGTGGCCTTATCTTTAAAATGTATTAGCATGTCATTTACTGTGGTATTGTTTCCTGTAAATATAAGAAATTAAATTCATGAAATCAAATAGTCACACAATTATTTAGGTTTGTAAGGTGTATAGTGTATTGTTACGGTAATGAAACATTTTATTTACTGTGTTTGATTTAGAAAGTAATTAAATGTATGCACAGGCACATATGTATGGTATAAGTGTTTGACGATCATTTGACAAAATGTCATCATTGTCATGCACTACTGCTCAAGATGAACAGGTTTTGCAGAATACCCTAATTTCAAACATCACGGGTTCAAACACAGTGGAGGGACACTTTTTGTATACAAAAGATAGACTGTATAATTTTGTTCAATTCAAAGCTGATTTCAAATTTAGATTATGTTCGTGCCGTGAAATAAAAAGTTAGTTAAAAAAACAAGCACCTGGTTCTGCTACTTTAGTTTTTGCTTTAATTTGCTCCATCGAAGAAAAACGGGTTTCGTAATTGCGAACACAATTGTTTTAGTTTGTAATTTGTTCCACGGGTTTAGCAGGTTTGTTACCACGTTTACGTCACCGTCTGTACGGGGTAAGGTCCCTTATTATTAATTGATGTCAAACAAAAATATACACCACAATCAAGATTGGCATTGGAAAACAAGAGTATTGCTAGGGCCAAGGACCTGTCATCCCACATCCAGATGTGAAACTAAAATTAAACATTACACATCATATAAAACTTTAAAAATTAATTAAAAACGAAACAAAACAGGATAAGACAAAACAACAAAAAGGAACAACACAGAACGCAAGACTAAACAAGATAGGACACAACAAGACAAGACAAGACAAGACAAGACAAGACAAGTCAAGGTAAAACAAGTCAAGACAGGGCAAGACAATGCACGAGAACAAAAGGCAAAACATGACAAAAAAAACACTGCCAGACAATCCAAGACAAGATAAAACACGCCGAAAACGAACAGACAAGAGTACACACAAAAACATAAGACAACAAAACAAGAAGCAATTTTGAAAATAAATAAAACAACGCTTAAAAACAATACATATATAAAAAAAATCTGGCATTATGAATCGATGAAAAAATACAACAGCGAAAAAAACCTCACAAAGGCACCCTGCACCCCAATTATTACTTTATTGTTCTTTTTACTTGCTGTTGGTTTATAATTCACAAACGTTAGGAGTCAAGAAGAAGACTTTAAGCATGTAAATTATCATAATCGCCTGGTGAAATGTTAAAATCTGACCAACGTTCTGTTCTGTTCCATCTATACCGCGGCCTTGGGTGTATTTATGTACAGAGTCTATGGGCAAATTGCTCAGGAGGTTTCCCCACCAATGTGCTGAAAGGGTCGATTTAATATTTAGTATTTCAATGCCTTCTGACTTTTCTCGGCGTATCCTATTAACACCGCGTTGGAAATAAAAAGGCAAAATATCTTAATTGCAACATCTTTAATATTTCAGCCCTCTCGGTGCGTGCTGTTTTCTAAAGGTTTATTCTATACACGGTTCTGTAATTATCTAGGCCAACCTTGATTGCTGCTGAGGATTCTGTTTATTACCGGAAGCCATTTCCGTTTCGCTTGCTGCACCGTTTCATATCGATTCTTGATAGTGTATGACCAAGAAGGTCTTCATTGTTCAATTCCAAGACGATATTTTGTTTATGTCAATAGGATATATATTTTTTAAACTAGGACTTGTGATTACCAGGGGATGCCCATTGGCTGTTACGGTACCCGCTTCTAGCATTAGCTCCGCCCATGTGACCTTCTACATAAGTTCAGGCCCGTTCCTGATTGACTAGGCTTGCTGTGACTGTTAGTAAAGTGTTGGCAAATCATTTAAAGTAGTTGTGGAATGCTCGAGGACATTTCCGTTATTTTTCGGGTATATGTAGCCTAAGGTGTGATGAAATAAAAACGACTATTGTGTCTGTCATGAAATGAGTACAAAAGGTACTTTTGAGAGCTGTTTTTCAGGTCCTGTTTCGACCAAAGCGTGCAATTTGTGTAAAAGTCGTCGTTGGGGGCAGCAAACAAAACATAGTAAATCGTGTCATAATAAACAGGACTCGTTTCTACTACTCTGCATCGGGAGTCCTGTTTATTACGTCACGATTTACTATGTTTTGTTTGCTGCCCCCACAGACGACTTTTACACAAATTGCACGTTCGAGTCGAAACAGGACCTGAATAACAGCTCTCAAAAGAACCTTTTGTACTCATTTCATGACAGACACAATTTAAAATGATTTTTAATTTAGCCATAACTCTCTTCCTGCATTGCTTTTTGGGGTACTTTAAACAACAATTTGTCCTTTGACATTAATTTTATTATCATTCCAGTCCTGGGAACTTTTTAAGATTCTATGTTTCCTATGAGGTATAATATTTTTGTTAGGTTTCTAGCTCTTGCCAAAGTTGGTATAAGTGTTGGAAAATGTGATATCCCTGTGTCGCAGAGCGAACCCTTGCGCCGCTCTACTCAGACCAAAAAGCAAGGAATAACTCAAGAGAACTGAGGATTCAACACAGGATTTATCAATCATAAAAATCAAATTAAATATTACGGGAAAGAAATAAACCAAAAACCGCAAAACTCAATCCGAAAATACGTGGACGAGGGTTTTTATACCCCTCCCACATGGATGCAAGCCCTGAATTGGTATGCAACAAAGGGAAAAGAAATTACGATTTGCATTATTCCGAAGTTACATAACACTTTACGGCCGTACAAATTTAATGATTAATAAATCAATTCAGAAAATAAAAGGAATAACAGTCTTGTGACACCCTGTACATCATCACATTTCAGGAATTTTTTTTTTACTTTAAATCCACTAGTACACTGCATAGGGATATCACATTTTGCAACGCGTATAGAAAACATGTTGGGGTTTAATTTTCATCCAAGTTTGTCTCAATGTCGGGTGATCCACTAGGTCAAATTCAAGGTCAAAGTAAAGATCAAAATGTCTTTCAATAACCCCAACATGAAAAAACAATGGTAAATTTGGATTTCTCATGATGTAACCTTTCAAAAGAAATCAAGATTAACAAATTTGGCTCACAGATTATAGAGATATGGTCATTTTAAAAAATGGCAGCAATGTCCATTTTGACCAAAATTGCCTCTGCGGTAGCGCAACAACCGTTTGTCCGATGGCGCTACAACTTAAAACATAAACTAAATATGAACCAATTTGAAGAGATTGGAGTTTAAAATTTAAAAGTTTTGGGGGGTGATTTGACACTGAATGACCCCAATGTCACATGACAAAATGTTGTGAAAAGTAGTTAAAAGTAGTTTTGGCCAGTGCATTTTTCTTTGCTAAAGAAGGAATTTTTCTCATATTTGGATAGAGTTTACCTTCCTAAGCTGGAAATCCACAAGTAACATTTTTTTCCATCTACCATGTGGCGGCCTTCTTGAAATTCAAAATGGCCGCCATTTCGGGCCTAATTGTATCTAACTTCGGACCTGATTGTCAAATGAAGTTCATTTTGGTGGCAAACCCAATGTTTTTGATACAGAGGAAACCGAGAGAATCATTGTTGATGCGGTGTACTCCCAGTGGAGTACCCCATCAACAATGATTAACTTGGGTTCCTTGGTATCAGGAACATGCAGTTTGCCACCAAAATGGACTTTATACGACATTCAGGTGCCACCTTATTTTTTAAATGAAATCCAAGATGGCCGCTATTTTTTAATATCCAATATGGCTGCCATCTATGGATGCCTAAATGTGTTAATTGGATTCTTTGGTATCAAATTTATGAGGTTTGCCACAAATTGTGACTTCTTACGACATTCAAGTCCAAATTTAATATGCAAATTAGTTAAAAATGGCGGCAATTATGAAATATCCAAGATGGCTGCCAGCAATTGTGAGTAGCTCGTCCACAGTGATTTACTAGAGTTCAGACAAAAACATAGACTTCATAGGACATTCAGGTGCAATGTTATTATAAATAAAATCCAAGTTGGCGGCTATTTTGAAAAATCCAAGACGGCTGCCATCCATCTGGGATACATCATCAGCATTGGGTCATTAAGTTACTTGGTATGAAATGTATGAGGTTGACTTTGTACGACATTCGAGTCCAAATTTATTATGCAAATAAGCCGAAAAAGTCAGCCATTTTGAAATATCCAAGATGGCTGCCATCCATTTGGAGTACACCATAAACAATAATGTACTCGGGTTCCTTGGTATCAAAAACATGGGGTTTGCAATCAAAATGAACTCCATGTGACAATCAGGTCCAAAGTTACATGATACAAATTAGGCTCGAAAGGGCGGCCATTTTAATATCCAAGATGGCCGCCACATGGTAGCTGGGAAAAAATGTCTCCAATGCATTTTCGGCTTATTGAGGTAAACTCTTTCCAAATATGGCAAACATTCCTTCTCATACTAAAAACAATGCAAAAGTACATAACGGCCTATACTATATGGCCAAATCATATGAAAATCATGTAATTAGCGGCCTTTTGAATTTATGCAAATTAGGCATATTTCCACCACTTGGATTTTTAACAACTTTTCGAGGGACCTTATAGCAATGCACTGTGCTGTGAAATTTGACTTGGATTATCAGGGAAAATGCAATTGGTACATGTCCACACATGGCATCCATTATTTTAACTTTAATTTAGGCAAATTGATATACGGCATTTATGCAAATTATACGGTATTTGGAAAATTTTGGAAACAAAGGGATCTTGAAATTTACCTCGGACTAGAATAATGAGTAAATCAATGTAAAAGGACTAAAACTGTCGTTTAAAGTACTTACAAAATCTACCTATTATGAAAAATATGACCAAATCAATGTGAAAGTCACTCCTAACATATGCGGCCATTTTGGATTTATGCAAATTAGGCATTTTTCCACCTCCTTGATTTGTTAAGACTTTTAGTATGTCATTTTAGGGACCTTATAGAAATGCACTGTGGTGAAAAAAAATCTGTTGCAATTTGTTTGAGGTCAAACCTTATATTGCCCGGACTATAAAGGCAGGACAAGGCCAGTTTCGTTGAGTTGCTTAAAGACATATAGGATCATTTTCTTTTCATTCATTTCCAACAACACTTCCCAAATCCAAAGAGAACTGTTCAAACCCTAACCTGTTGAAATTTAAACTCAGTGGATGTTACATTTTTCAAGAAACGGTGAAAACAAAACAAAACACGCACAACCTTTGGAACACGAAACACAATTTCATCAACAGAACCCGGTTTTTCAAGGGAAAAAATATGAATTTGACTGATCGTTGGTTATTACCTATCAATCTTGATTTCTTCGAATTGACATCAAGCCAGATAAAGTAATTTCCCCAGTGTGTAGTACCAGTACGATCTTAAACCAAGTTAGCTTTTTGATGCTAATTTGCTGGGTTACCTGTGGGATAATTGCAAATAATCCTATGTAATGAAGCAGAACGAATCGTGGGCGTTGCTGATAGGACATTAATTAACAATGACGCCAGTCAGTCTGAACACGTACGTATAGTTCCGTGAGCTCTTTACACCCAAGCGCACAATCCTCGCTACTTGCATCAGGGAGAATGGACGGAGCGGTGCTTTCTCTTCTGGCGGTATCAGCACTCGCAGGTGAGCCATTTTCCTTGTTTTCAGATATGCATGACAGGCACAATAAATGGGCACCATTTGCAGTGGGTACATATGTGTACAGATGAGTTTACCCCCTCCGAATAGCGCTGTCCTGATTGGGTCCACTCCATTGGACAAAAAGGTAAGCACGCTCTTTCATAAAGCGATACCATTATGGTGTACAACTTGATTTCATTGAAATGTGTTGTAACGTTGGTGCGTTTGCCCTTTCGAACATATTTTCTGCACAAAAAAGTCCAACTTACCCACGGCAGACTGCGACAAAAGTGAACTGGGTGCAAGTCAGACTGTTTTTCCAGTCACAACTGACTAACGGAACAGAATATCTCGATTCGAGAGCAAAACAGATCGAAGATGGTTTGTAAGAGCAATTGTAAAATTCACCAGTAGATTAAAAAAATATATACATTTTGATCAATGAAGTTTTGGCCAAATGGTCAATGCAAAATGGGAGTACTTTGCAACGCACAACATTATATACAATCGCTAATGCTGTTAAATACAAAAAAGGGGTAAACAATATCCTACAGATACTTTCCTTATTTGTCACCTTTTCCAAATCGAGGCACCAAATTCAATGAAAAAATAGAGAAATATAACAAATTTAAAATAAAATTGCTCAACGTTCTTGAAACAATCACCGAAGGTTACATACACGTGCATTCACGTGGGAAGCGTATTATCTCATTGTTCATATTATTATACGCCTTGACGCGTTGGAGGTGGAGGTTTGCTATTGGTCGATTCCCTCGCCAATTTGCATATAGATTAAGCAGTAGACAAAGTCAAGGTTGTATCAAGTAGCGTGTGATTAGATTCACTGCCTAGTTTGCCTCCCTTTCTTTTCTCGTCCTCACCGTGAAAGCAATTAACTGATAATACCAAAGGCCCAGTGCACGTACAGTTTAATTGTAACCTAAAAGAAGAAACGTCATTCAAATCCCTACCTCTTAGATGCACGTTCTCGGTCTCCGCCGAAGTAAACACCTTTAAATACTGGTTTGGCAAAAAAAAAAACAATTTACAAAAAAAAATCTAAAATCTATTATTACGCATGGTTTGGTCACCATGGACATGTAATGTAGCAGCAGCGGCGAATTATTGTCAACATGGGGGACATCATATAATATGAAGACCGCATTTTATTCGACATTAATAATTTGCAATTTCCATGAAAAGGGTGATGCAATATCAATATCTAACAGCTATAACACTTTTTTTTTTAAATATACAATGGTTAACGCACTGGGATGAATTATTGCGGATCATCGCCTTTGGCGTCCCCCCCCCCCCCACGAAAAAAATAAAATAATAATCCGGAGGGGGGAGGTATGTCCAATGTTATGCAGTAGGCGCACATCCTGGACCTAGACATTGTTTCCATATGATTGTCCTTGGTTATTCATTCAATGATTTAATTGATTTGATTTGATTGATTTGATTGATTTGATTGATTTGATCAATTTGTTTAATTTGTTTGATTTGATTGATTTGATTTGATTGATTAGATTGATTTGATTGATTCGATTGATTTGTTTGATTTGATTGATTTGATCGATTTGATTGATTCGATTGATTTGATCGATTTGATTGATTCGATTGATTTGATCGATTTTTTTGATTTGTTTGATTTTATCGATTTGATTAATCTGTTTGATTTGATTGATTTGATTGATTTTATTAATTTAAGTGATTTAAGTGATTTAATTTATATCATTGATTTCGCTCATTTCGTTCATTTCGTTTAATTCGTTACCATTTGCATACCAGCTGTACATTGATTAGCCTGAAGATTAGCTTTCCATTTGTGTTTTTATTAACTTATTCCAAAGTGCTGTTGGTTGGTGTGGAGAGCAAGCAGAGGGTGTGCTACTCCGGTCCCCCACCGGAACCTGATCCTGATAATCCGGATGACAGGATGAAGCAAGTCATGCAACAGATACGGAAGCGTTGCCCGGGAAGGAGGCCACCTGGTAAGTCGATCTGCGATCTTCAAAACTGTAGGAACAACAAAAGCATTTTTTTTCTACAACAGGGTTATATTGCATTGAAATTGACCATTTTATTGAAACCAAATTATTATTAAGGTTCACCGAGGGCTGTAAGGAACATTAAACGTCTGCTAATGTTCAAGATGGTATCTGCTTGTCGTGTTTCTGGAGGTCGCGCAATTAATATACGAGTTCACCCTCGAGCATCAATATGTTTGCAAAGCTAGTGATGGGTCTTTTAACTGTTCATATAAATGTTGTTTTATGGGTTGCTTTTTTGCCTTCCAAAAAAAACCTTCCAAATTTGAAAAGGAAAATATGCCAGTAAAAAGGGGCAACTCCCCAGAATAAAACAAAGAGGATTAACCTTCACACAAAAACACCGTTAGTGCATGGTTATATTCCAACTATTTTCTCCAAGTCAAAGTATCTGAATGCTAAATTGGAAAGGGTCTAATTCATATTTGCAATAATTTACAATCACTTAGGTTTACAAGGTTTAACAGTGAGAGTTTTATTTGCCTACTCGTATGTTACCCACAGATTGCTCGAGTCCACAACCCCTAGGTATGGAGGACGGCAGAATCCCTGATGGTCGCATCAAGGCGTCCAGCCACTGGGGGTCTATTAATTGTTGCCCTGCCAGAGAGGCACGCCTCAATAATGATCTCAGATGGATAGCCTTGAGGTAGGTATCAGAGGGAAATACCACACCTGACACGTCATTCCCATTCCGTTTTGATTTGTTTCATTTTGGTTTGTTTTTGATTCCTTTTTTTCGTATATTACCCCCAAAAAATTCAACATTCCCGACGGAAGCCCAACCCGGATGCACAACTGAATGTTCGCACTGTAACGAGTTTCAATAATTGCGTTCGATTGTCAAACCCATTCTTACAAATCGATTTTTTGGAGTACTGTCATTTCATTGTTCCTCGTCCTCTCCTCACTCTGTGTACAGTACCGATGCCAATCCCTGGATTGAGGTAGACCTTGTTGAGAGCACTGTGGTGACAGGTGTCATCACACAAGGCTCCGGCGGTGGCTCGTATGTGACGCAGTTCAAAGTGGCGTATCAGAAGCAACCCTCATCTGATCGTGAACACGTAAAAGATAAAAGCGGCAACGTGAAGGTAAATATACGGTTTTTACTATAAATATTTCTGTTACCTAATTTCATGTTTAAGAACAAAAAAAAGTGGGAACTCAAGTCTGTTTTACTTTGTTTGGGATGTTGTTGGTTTTTGAAAACTTCATTCTGTACGACTATTTTTCGGTTCGATGGTAATGCAAATATTAAGTGTGAAGCCATTGTGAAACTGTGGCTTTTTAAAGGTCACATGCAGATTAAGCAACATACGAAACAACATATAGTTTACTTTGTTATTGAATTCTATTCACATGATTCATGAGAACTTTTGCTTTGGTTTTATTAACAATGATCTTAAAGGTGAAAATATTTTAAACTTTAGAAATAAGCCACTCTGGTTACACAGTTAAGATTGTGTGTATTAATATTTTCTACAATTCTGTTTCGGGAACAGCCCCGTCACTTGAGATTTCCCACTTTTGTGGCATTTTGGTCAAAGACGATACTATAATTAAGCTGACAAACGCGCGTTGATTGTATCCATGATTGCTTCAGGTGTTCATCGGTAATACTGATGTCAGCACCACGGTAACCAACCTGTTCGATGAGAGTGTGGTGGCAGCAGTAGTGCGCATTGAGCCTACTGAATGGCAAGTTGGTGTTGGTCTGCGATTGGAGCTGCTTGGTTGTCATCTGGATTAACCAGCTGAAAAAAAAGTTCATATGACTTTGTTCGACTGTGCTGAGTAATATTTATAGATAAGCAAGAGCAAATGAAGATTTTGAAAAAAATGTGCATGTGAACATTTTATTACAATGATGCTCAGTCTTTCAAAGTTATAACAATAAAACATAGAGGGATTAGATTTACAATTTACTGGATTTGATTTATGACCGTCTCTTCAACCTCCCTTCTTGAAATGCAGTTTCAAAATTTTTCTGAAACCTATAATGCTTAAATTATCTGACAGAAACATTCACCTCAAGATAATTGAAAGCAAAGGATGTGTTTCAAAAACTTGCAGTGCTGTAGTGCTCGTACTACATGTATTTATTATTTTTTTAGAGTACTCGTACTCTTTCTCGAATGTCAAAGTGACGGTACTCGTACTCGGGCAGCAAAGTAGTCGTACTCGACATGTCGAAATTTTACTCGATCATCAAAGTACTGGTACTCGAACGGAAGCACTCGAGAAAAAAATGATATAGCATGACTTAGCACGGCCTTATATTGTACCAATACTTTCAGTTTGAAATGGTTGATTGGATTACAGAGAAATAGAAGTTTCCTTACTTTCTTCTCTGTACGTCCGGTTAAACACATTTAAAAGCTAGCCGCGAGTGGGTCTGTTTATCGGTCTGACTAGAACTGGGCCAATTACGCATAATGAACATTTTGCAGTATGACGTTTTCGGAAAAAGCAGTACTCGTACTCTTACTCGTACTCGTACTCGGAAATACACATACTCGTACTCGGAACAACACTGAAAATTAGGCCTTGTATATCTTGTAAATTGTTGTGGCGCCTTTTTTTGTTCAAACATCATCATAAAATGTCATGTGACGTCCATTAACCCTAATAGGAAGGGGGCGGCCCGCGAATTTTTTTCTCCCAAACGACATCCGCATATGGGTGTAGGCTATGGCGTTTTGGATTTAACTTTTCTTTAAATATGAGAAGAAAATATAAAATTAGGAAAACAAATGAATTCGAACGTTTTGAAATTCGGACTGTATTTCCCTTTTATAAAGATTCCTCCGAAGCCTCAGGTTAGAAGAAAACAAATTGGGTGCAAAAGCGCGTTTCAAACCCGCAACCTCGCCCTAAAGACATGAAATTCAGTTGGTATATTTATGATAATTTTTTCTATGCGTGTACCGAGTTTCATATTTTTTTGTCACTCGGAACCCGAGATCTAAGGGGGGGGGGTGGAATCCGCCCCCCTCGGCTGAGAGATGGTCAAAATAACCCGGCCCTTTAAGGGTCATAGGCCTATATCTACAGAACTATATGTTCGATTTGGTTGTAACTGATATGTACGTATAATGTGCTGTGTTAAATATGACGTTCGACGTGACGTCATCATGTGTTCATCACGTGCACAGAATTATCTCACATATCCGAAACAGCTTGTGTTTGTCCACAAACACATTTCTAGTTTATTATTTCCTCCATCACAGGTTGATGAATTCCCCAAAGAAATAATAATTTAGAACGTTTTGTGACTCCTTCCTTCATCATAGGAGTTCGCCCTGCCCCCAGATTGGGAGTCCCCCCACCCCACCCCCCGAAAAAAAAACATACACGCAAGCTCACTCACGTAATCATAGTGTTAAGAGAAGGCGGTATAATGCACGGCAAGCCCGTCGCTGCGGTGTAGTAAAATACGCATCCAGCTAAGCGGTGCGATGACAATGTTGCTCTTGGCAACGCAATGTTGCTCGTGGCAACGAACATTCCTCGAACCGGTGAAACAAATTTCAGAATCCATTACACAATTGCGGTCATATCACAGAGTATCATATTCCTGAAATAAGTAAACAAAACAGCTGTGCCTAGCTAAACATTTCAGTCGGCATCCCCGTTCCGAATGACAGCTTTAATTAGTTTGTATCAGAAGTATATAAAAAGCCATTCCATATTATGTTGTTTTTTTTTTATTACTGAAGCAACTCATTTCGGCTGAATATTTAACCAGCTCGCTATAGTACCAGCAAATCAACTTATGTAACGCAAACCACCATTGGTGAGCAAGTTGATGTGGTGGTGGATACCAATGGTTAGCGGGTTTACAAAGAACGTATGCGACAAGGTCAAAATGCCTGTCCATAGTTGTTTTTTGTCTTTAGAAATAACGTCTGGTATAGGAATAGTTGCCTTTTCAGTTTTCGTTGCCTTTCCACAGGTTAACAACGGACGTATACGAAAAGCAGAAATGCCTGTCCTTAGATTTCTTCGTCTTTATAAATAACATCTGGAAAAAGGAATAGTTGCCTTTTCAGTGCTTGTTGCCTTTCCACAGATAAACAAATAACGTGTACGAAAAGCCGAAATGCCTGTCCATAGTTTTTTCGTCTTTTGAAATAACGTCTGCTATAGGAAAGGTTGCCTTTTTAGTTTTCGTTGCCTTCCTACAGGTTTACAAAGAGCGTATACGAAAAACCGAAACGCCTGTCCATAGATTTCCTCGTCTTTAGAAATAACGTCTGGTATAGGAATAGCTGCCTTTTCAGAAGAAATCTATGGACAGGCATTTTGGCTTTTCGTAAACGTTTTTTTGTTAACCTGTAGAAAGGCAATAAAAACTGAAAGGCAACTATTTCTATACCAGACGTTAATTCTAAAGACGAAAACAACCACGGACAGCTTTTTTGGCCTTTTCGCATACGTTCTTTGTAAACCTGTTAACCATTGGTATCCACCACTACGTCAACCTGCTCCATGCAGTATATAATTATGTATGTCGTGACTAAAATAAAAAGGCTTCGGACTGCGCGCACGCATTTGGCCCTTGAACTTTGCGTCCCCTCCCCCCGCCCCACACTTTCTGAAAATCCTGGATCCGCCACTGGGAATAATTGCCTTTTTTCTTGGTGCATTTGGTTGAGAATTTTGTTCAAATCTTCTGCAACCACATGATCCTGCTTGGCGAAACATTGCTGCGGGACGACTCACACATTGTCCTTTGATTATAATTTCCACACAATTTAATGACCTAAAATATTTCAAATACATGTACAATGCTACCAATCTCAACATAAGTTTTGCAAGGGCTAAATTAAAGTATTAGTTGTTTGTTTTTTTCTTTGCAAACTTGCATGTGCATTGAGACCTACCTGTATATGTTGTTCGTTGGTATTGGGACTCCGAGTCAGCCACAGACCTCTACGGTTCGGTTACATTCTTTTATTCCCGTCTCAATGCATGTGCATGTAACACTTTATTACCAATGACTGTAAACCTTGCTTTTCCTCTGCTGTACACAATAATTTAAATTTACCTATTTGTATTTGATTTGGTTTGACTGATCTTTGAATTATCGTTTTCATGCTGAGGAATAAAAACAAATGAACCTGAAACTGAACATGAAGGGTACAAAATATCAATTCTTTAATTTTTGATAAAAAAAAATTGGCCACATAAAATGCACAGTACAAATTTAATTTCGTGGTCTCCTGTCTCAGATCATGGAGAAGGGACATATACATTTTAATGATACATAGTTATTGATTTTAGAAATGTGAAAACCACTTTGTCCGCCTGTTGGCTCAGCTTGCCCGGCCCGCGTGATTCAGCCTTCGAATCGGCCCACTATTTGTTGGATGTTACCCCGAATCATGTTTTTATCCTGTACAAATTAATAGAAAATGACCCGAATGTTTGGACCCCTGTATATTTCCAATGTAGCCGCTTACGCTTCCGCCTCACGGCCCGTATTTGCATACATTATCATTCTCGGTTGAAAAAGGTTTATTGTGAGATACAAACGTGGACGTACTTACGTTCGTGGCGGGTAAAGCTTAGGAGGGGAGCAAGCAAATCAGAGTTTTTCATTGGCTTGGACCAAAGGACTGTGTTTTGTATATATGCAAAACGCACGTACACTATTGAAACGTAGAATGAGTCTATTTCCCTTTCATTATTATCACTTCTGTACGTATTAAACGAACAATCTACACATTTCCTTTTTTTTCGTAGTCTGTGAAATTCAGTTTCTAGTTTCTTAGGAATAAAGTAAGAAAGCATGGTCATGCAGCCATAACCTACAAAATGTGAAATCTGGGTTGTAAAGGGGGGGGGGGGAATAAGGGAGGTAATTAACATCCTCTCCAATTTTTTTATGATATACAACTTTTGCAGCTTTTTTTTTTTAAGGTATACCGACCTTATTAAACCGATCAAAATAATAAAGGATTATTTTTATGAATTAAAACTATGTTTTTTTCAGAATCCTAAATGGGTTTAAACCGGTTAATATACATGTACATGCATTACAAATGTCTGACGCTTGGAACAATGTTTTATATCAACCACAATCAACAGATAATTTTGAATATAATTATTGAAATCATTTTGAAGGAGAACGTTATGAGGAATACAGTTTTTAACTTCTCAACTAAATTCGCAAAATAATGGCCAGTTTTATGAAATTGGATTCGCCAAAGCACGCGCTCCAGGGCGTTTTGAATTAAAAAAACGAACATAAAACATAAACGTTTTAAGCTAAAACAGTATATTTAATAATGAAAAGTTCAACTTAAAACATCTGTTTTTTATTTGCCGAATGGCAATAACTAAATGAAATCCTTAGACAGATCATTTGCACTACGCAGGCGCGGATCCGAGGGGGGTGGGGGTGGTTTCAAACCCCCTCACTCTGTCATTTTGTTCCATAGAATTTAATAAAAATGAATTGCACACCCCCTGCTCCGACATCCAAAAGTGTTTTGCTCGTGATAATTTTCGCCTTGCACATACTACGTACATAGCCAGCTTGGTTAGGGAGTATGTTCATTATTCTGTTCTATAGTGTTTATAATCGTCAGATTTAAACAGCGCCCCCATCGAAAAAAAATGGTGGGAGCCCCCCCCCCCCCCCCCCCCCCCCCCTCCGCCCCCCGTTTTTGGATGTTATGGAGGCCAAGTGTCCGGAGAAAAAAAAGTGTCTACATTTCAGATTTTTGGGGGCTGGTGAATCCC